AAAATACACCATAAGAGTGGTGAGATTGAGTCTCCTTGGTCTATCCCTTTGAGTATTCTGTATGATTCTGTTAGTCCGTATTCTGTTATTCCTTGTCCAGTGCGATTTTTTTCTATAAAGTTGATTATGTTTACAATAGCTGTTGGGATTTTAAGTCGTTTTAGTGTTATGCTCATCATTTTTACATCGACCAAGTCAAAAGCCATTCGTATGTCTTGAAATAAAAACCAAAGTTCTTTATTATTTTCTTTTGCGTCTTCCAGGACATTATTAATAATATATATTGGGAATCACCCCAAATTGAAAAAAAAACTCTTTCCCAAATTATTTTGTAATACAAAATACGCAGTAATATTATATTAAAATTGTTTTATTTTTATTTCGTTTTAATTAAAAGTTCAGAAACCTGGCACAATGAACGATAGCTCAACCAGTGGCCCCCCAAGGAGGTCAACAAGAATCCAGTTGGCTTTACAATCAAATATACAAACACAATTAAAAAACCAAAGAAACAATCCCATTAAAAAAGTGGACAAAACAGTGGCATCTTTTATTTCAAAAGAAATAACAAACATAAAAAGTAATATTAAAAATAATAGTGATATCAAAGATATGGAAGTTACGGTCACGATAGAGTAACCTGAAGCAATAATTAATAATGACAACGATAAAGGTAAAGGAAAACGAATCGACTTTGAAGATTTGACAATTGATATCGATGAAAATAACGGGAACGAATGGACCGAAGTAACAAATAAAAAGAAAAAGGCAAAAAATATAGACAACACGGCAATAGATCCTGAAGTAATAGAAGAAGATAAAGAATCAGTATTATCATATGAGACAGATAATAGTTTTCATCCTGACTGGAGACAAGATTTTAATGCAAAAAAATTTAAAATTTGAACTTACGCTGAAAAAATTCCTGAAAAATCGATAGGCGAAAAAATTGAATTTGTAAAAAAAGCCATTAGAGCAAAAACTGAATTAACCCTAGTCAGAGTAGAGAACAATA